GCGGCTGTGCTGACATACATCCCAAGCATTGTGATGCTGGAAATGTACGTATCCAGCGCAATTGTCCTATAATTAAATGTTCTTTAACCAAAAAATCTAGAAAATCGAACCATTCTCTGAAAAAACAGCTACGTGCTCCTGACTTAAACCGTTAGCAATTAGTGGTTGCAACTCTGTAAGATGTGTCTCAAAATGGGTAGGATTTTCAGTAACTCCACTCACAGATTGTAGTGGAGTTAAATTTTCATCATTAAACACATAAACTTAAAATTGATTAACAAAAGATTTCATTATTATTACAAAGAACGTAATAGTTAGGCTAACCATTTTGAGCTTTTTTGCTTGACATATAATCTATTATATATCATACGAAGGAGCTCTCTAGGCTACGTCGAATGATACAAAGTCGGCTAACTTTGATAATTTAAAAGTGAAAAATTAAATCAGATTATATGATTTTAGTTTTAACCGACTCAACTCAAATAGTATTTTCAAATGATAATAATTTGCCATAAAAATAGAAAAGTACAAAAGGGATGGTCAGCCAAAGTATTACTAAAATTCCACCTGATTGTGATATTTCTCTTGAAGTTTCAAGTTGTTGACGTGAAGTTCCTGGTCGTGGAGATAAATTTCCATTATTATTAACCACATTTGACTCGTCATAGTTAGCAGAGGTGGGTCTGAACAGTCAGAGGTGTAGGAAATCGGAACTGCCGGAAATCGGAAATGGCTCAAAAGTCGGAAATCGGAAATCAATTTTTTTCGGAAATCGAAAGGAAAAAAACGCCGGAAATCGGAAGGCGGAAATCGGAATTCCGACCCACCTCTGATAGTTAGGAAGATTTCTGCGCCTTTTTTGCAGAAATTCACGATGTGCAGTGCTTTTTTTAACATTCTAATATAAATTATTACATATACATTAAAATTAGTTAGAACCTCTAAAGTTCGAACGCGTCGCTCCAAAATCTCATTATCATATGCGAGCCAGTCAGTAAGATTTCTTAGATAACAAATCTCACTCTTGAATTCATGATGCTCTCTCAGGAGCCTCTCAAAATCGCACACAAAAATACTAGACATTTTATTAAATTATTAAAATTTTTAATAATTTTGAAAGTTAGAATGAAATAATGAAAACAATATTTATGGTCCAATAATTAATTTTATATAAAACGGTTACACTACTCAAATTTTTGCCAATTATACACAAATCTGCAAAATATAGAAAATCCAAGAGATAATGACTAGAGGCGGATCCTTGTAATAATATTTGTAGTCTGGTAATTATAAAATTATTTGAAAATATAATAGAATTAGAACAATCTTTTTTACTTTTTTTTTATTATTTATGGTCCAATAATCTACGTTAAAAATTTTACATAAAAATACAAGTAATTGTTCAGTGATCTAAAAATTTGTAAATAAGAGTAAATTTCACGAGAAAGGGAAACGAGTCGCAAGTAGTAATAATAAAAGAAAGGACCATAATTATTATAACGTAATAAAAATTTTATAAAATTTTGAGTTGGCTCGAGATTGGTAAAATTGAAGACACTGACGATCAATTATTGTTGTAGATTTTTGATAAATATATACATAATTTTGAGTTTTTAAAATATTTTTCAAATTTAACCACGCCTATTTATTGAAGTATAAATATCAAAAAAAGTAGAAGTTATTCAGTTTTGATATAAAATGAATCCGGAAATTTCAATCCCCGAAAACCCTGTTAATAATGTCTTCAACCTAAACTTGTGGAAGCTAGTTAAACTCAAGTATATACTTCAGTTTTACTTTTGTAAAGATTGTAGAGATAAATTGTTTCAATCAGATGATAAATTAGTACGAAGCGAATCTGGTGTCACTGTCAAATTTAACTTATGTGAAGACTGCGTCACAAAAAATTGCCGAGCAACAGATGTTTTTAAATAATTGTAAAAATTTTTTTATATATTATATAATTAATATAAATATGTAACGATTGAATGACATTTTAAAAATTATTTTTAATGTTCTAATGTATTTATAACTTTGTAAAATATATATATAAATTTAATAATTATTATATTATTATTAGAGAGAGGGGTAGTTGTATTTAATGAATAAAATTGAAGATTGTTAAAAAATTTAAGTTTGTTCACATGTTTTTGATTGATAACTATTTTTATTGAATTGTTTTTATCTTCTTTTGTAGTCCTAAGCCTTAGCTTTATAATCATACTAAAAATTAATAAAGAAAAGACCAAAAATTTTATGCCTTTAGAAGTGTGTAAGGTGAATATTATGTGACAGTTACAAACCCCATTATTACAAAGTAATAATGAAATATTTTCATTAAGAAAAATTAATTAATATTAATTAATAGAAATTATTTTAAAAATTAATAAAAAATCAAAATTTGACTGAAAAATTAATTTAAATATTTTTAGATAATTTGGTTATTGTTCTATTCATTAATATTATTTTTTAAATTTTTCTTTAAAAATAAAATTATAACAAATTTTAACAAAAAGTAGTTCATTTTTATTCATTTTTCAAGGAAATGTAGTCATATCAACGGATCGAGGATGGATGATTGGGCGTGGATAAAAATTGGGTACTAATATTTTTTAAAGTTTTACCATCGTAATTTGAGCATATTCATCTTAGGAAACAATTCATTTCCACGAACCCTTTTTTAAAGACTAAGAAAAGTTCCTCTTGTTTTTTTTTGTTTCCCAATTGTTCGGTGTCCTATTCTTTTTGTTAATTTTTCAATCAAAGCTATTGCAATGTCCACGGTACAGTTCTGACAAAAAAAACATCTGGATGTTTTTATCTCCCCCAACGAGCACGGACGTGTTTGTTTACAGCCGGTGGCTTTCCCGACACAAGTTTGCGTTTGGTCATGTTACTCAAATCGAATTTTTTTGAAAAAGTTTTTTGAGCTAAATTTGTCAAAAAAGATTTTTTATTAATTTTTGATTTAATTTTTATTAATTAATATTAATTAATTTTTCTTAATGAAAATATTTCATTATTACTTTGTAATAATGGGGTTTGTAACTGTCACATAATATTCACCTTACACACTTCTAAAGGCATAAAATTTTTGGTCTTTTCTTTATTAATTTTTAGTATGATTATAAAGCTAAGGCTTAGGACTACAAAAGAAGATAAAAACAATTCAATAAAAATAGTTATCAATCAAAAACATGTGAACAAACTTAAATTTTTTAACAATCTTCAATTTTAATCATTAAATACAACTACCCCTCTCTCTAATAATAATATAATAATTATTAAATTTATATATATATTTTACAAAGTTATAAATACATTAGAGACTGAATAACTTCTACTTTTTTTTGATATTTATACTTCAATAAATAGGCGTGGTTAAATTTGAAAAATATTTTAAAAACTCAAAATTATGTATATATTTATCAAAAATCTACAACAATAATTGATCGTCAGTGTCTTCAATTTTACCAATCTCGAGCCAACTCAAAATTTTATAAAATTTTTATTACGTTATAATAATTATGGTCCTTTCTTTTATTATTACTACTTGCGACTCGTTTCCCTTTCTCGTGAAATTTACTCTTATTTACAAATTTTTAGATCACTGAACAATTACTTGTATTTTTATGTAAAATTTTTAACGTAGATTATTGGACCATAAATAATAAAAAAAAAGTAAAAAAGATTGTTCTAATTCTATTATATTTTCAAATAATTTTATAATTACCAGACTACAAATATTATTACAAGGATCCGCCTCTAGTCATTATCTCTTGGATTTTCTATATTTTGCAGATTTGTGTATAATTGGCAAAAATTTGAGTAGTGTAACCGTTTTATATAAAATTAATTATTGGACCATAAATATTGTTTTCATTATTTCATTCTAACTTTCAAAATTATTAAAAATTTTAATAATTTAATAAAATGTCTAGTATTTTTGTGTGCGATTTTGAGAGGCTCCTGAGAGAGCATCATGAATTCAAGAGTGAGATTTGTTATCTAAGAAATCTTACTGACTGGCTCGCATATGATAATGAGATTTTGGAGCGACGCGTTCGAACTTTAGAGGTTCTAACTAATTTTAATGTATATGTAATAATTTATATTAGAATGTTAAAAAAAGCACTGCACATCGTGAATTTCTGCAAAAAAGGCGCAGAAATCTTCCTAACTATCAGAGGTGGGTCGGAATTCCGATTTCCGCCTTCCGATTTCCGGCGTTTTTTTCCTTTCGATTTCCGAAAAAAATTGATTTCCGATTTCCGACTTTTGAGCCATTTCCGATTTCCGGCAGTTCCGATTTCCTACACCTCTGACTGTTCAGACCCACCTCTGCTAACTATGACGAGTCAAATGTGGTTAATAATAATGGAAATTTATCTCCACGACCAGGAACTTCACGTCAACAACTTGAAACTTCAAGAGAAATATCACAATCAGGTGGAATTTTAGTAATACTTTGGCTGACCATCCCTTTTGTACTTTTCTATTTTTATGGCAAATTATTATCATTTGAAAATACTATTTGAGTTGAGTCGGTTAAAACTAAAATCATATAATCTGATTTAATTTTTCACTTTTAAATTATCAAAGTTAGCCGACTTTGTATCATTCGACGTAGCCTAGAGAGCTCCTTCGTATGATATATAATAGATTATATGTCAAGCAAAAAAGCTCAAAATGGTTAGCCTAACTATTACGTTCTTTGTAATAATAATGAAATCTTTTGTTAATCAATTTTAAGTTTATGTGTTTAATGATGAAAATTTAACTCCACTACAATCTGTGAGTGGAGTTACTGAAAATCCTACCCATTTTGAGACACATCTTACAGAGTTGCAACCACTAATTGCTAACGGTTTAAGTCAGGAGCACGTAGCTGTTTTTTCAGAGAATGGTTCGATTTTCTAGATTTTTTGGTTAAAGAACATTTAATTATAGGACAATTGCGCTGGATACGTACATTTCCAGCATCACAATGCTTGGGATGTATGTCAGCACAGCCGCAATCTTTATATGAGTGCGGTCATCTTTTATTTTGTATAGATTGTCAGAGATCCGCTGGAGAATGGTTGAATATTTGCCCTATATGTAAGAAAGAAGGGCCTACATATGAAAAGGTACATTTAACACGCCGTCTTTTCAATAATCGCTAATTAGAATTTTGTAATATTTGGAAGGGGTTAAGTTCCTTTTATTATTATTTAGGCTTATTTAAAATTATTTTTAACACTTAATTTATAATTAAATACGACATTAAGTTCTTATAATAACAAGCTTATAATAACCACAAATAAAAAAATAACCTCATTAATTAATTAATTAATTAAAATAACCTCATTAATTAAAAAAAACTGTCCAATTAACTTAATTTTTCACATTTTAATTTTTATTTTGAATGGATAAAAATTTTGATTAAAAATATTATAAAATATTGATTAAAAATATTTTTTATATTAAAAATTTAATTTAATTCTATTTCTTCAAACTTTTCTTTAATTGTGGGTGGTTTAGGTGGAGGATTAATAGGACGGCATAACTTATGCGCAGCCTTGAAAGGAGCCGTTATTTCTAATAAATATTTAAATATTTCAAGAAAAATAAATGTACCTGTTTTTTGTTTTTGTCGATTATTGATTTTTTAATTTTAAATATAATATAAAACACCAATATAATGATTATAACCTAAAATATAAAAAAAAGTTACACATAGTTATAGAATTTTACTTGATTGAAAATAATTAATAGTTTAAAAAGATTTTCATATAATATATAATTATTATTTGTATTATTATTAGCAGAAATATTATTATTATTTGTAGTAGTAGAAGATGTAGTGGAAATGTTCGGGAATTCTTTAAATGATCCAGTCAAATATTCATTAAAATTATTCGCAATTATGTTGTTAACGCAGAATAATGGTTCTTTAAAACCTTTTGGCCTTAAGCATACCATATCGTTATGTTGGCATGTACAGTTAAAAACAATTATCCATTTGATAATAGATGGAGACAACATTCTTTAGTTGTTATTTAATACTATAATATAATTTGTATATATGGACACAGTTCGATCCTAATTTTGCCGACGTAAGAAAGGAAATGGTTTTAGTGGGGGTCGTTATAAAGAGATTTCTCTATTTATATATCTTATATATGATTTTAATTAATATATATTATAAATAATTTAATTAAAAGTTATATGTAATTATTATGTTTTATTATTTAAATAAAAAACTGATTTAAATCTTTTAAATGAAAAACTTCAAATAATTAGTATTTATTTTAATATTTTTTATATTTACTATAAAACTGTTTATTTTTATTTTTTTACTTTTCAATTTAAAAAGTTTCATCCAGATGTTCAATTCAATAAGTTGCTTTCCTTTTATCAAAAAAGATTTTTTTTAAATTAATATTCAGAACTTTCATCCTAATAAAAAGTTTAAATGCTAAGTTGCCTTAATTTATTATAATAACAATAACTTCATATTTTACTAAAAACAAAATTAAAAATTCTGATTTAAAAATGTGTTTGTATGATTTAGATTTCTATATGTAACAAATAAACAACGGTGTAAAATTCTGAACTCGAAATGTAGAATTAGTGTTATGGAAAGAAAAGCGATGTAAACCATTTGGTTCATCCATAAAAATTACAGACTTGCCAGAAAACTTTAACAGAAAATACATAATTAAATAATTAAAAATTCATATTATTGTTTAAATTTAGTGTTATAAAATCTTCTATTCTAAGGTTTTAATTTTTCCAAATGGATGAAGAAAATCGAAATTCCGACACACCTCTATATACCTTTATTTGAACAAGAAAAGCAAAATTATATCAGATTTTAAAATTTATTCAAAAATGTAAAAAATACATATGCATATTTAAAGAAAAAAACATTAAATTCAAATACCCGTATATGCTCTAATAATTATCATGCCGTAGTAATTGTTTCAAACTTAAGCTGGATGTGTCAATAGTAAGGCTAAATATTGGCTGATTATAAACAATTTTAAGGAATAGTTATTTTTAAGTTTTTTAAAGAGTAATTGATTGGAATTAGCTTAAAGTATGTAATTAGTTCAGTAAGTATGATGGTTTGTAATACTAATCAAATCATAATTTTTGTCATATGCATATGTGAACTTAAACTGAAATCTTTGTTATAGTTTTCTAAAAGCATATTTCTTTTTATTTAATTTATATATAAATAAATTAATTATTTTCTGTAATTATGACCCAACGATTTTTATAAAACAAAGAATTGAAATATTTAAAAAATATTGAAATATAAAATATTGATCATTGAAATATTTTAAAAAACGAGATAAAAGAGCTGGAAGTATATGTACATTTTCAACAATATTTTTTCGTTTATTCCATTGCGAATCTACAGGTTTTGTTGATGCTAAATTGATGTTCTAGTATTTAATTGACAAATAATTCCAGCTTTAGCAATTGAAAGTGTTCGTTGTTCCATTACTTTTCTTGTATTATCATTCATTTTATCAAATTCATCAATATAATAAACTCCATTATCTTCTAATACTAAAGTACTATTTTGTAAAACAACTGAACGAGAATCTGGATCTCTTGTGATTGATGCACTTAAACCAACATCACAAAAACCCTTTAAAAATATTTTATTTAAAAATAATTTTTTAGACATATAATGTGGGGACAATTATTAGTAACTTCAAAATTACTCAAAATTTTAAACCTTTCCATAAGTAAATTGTGCCCGTGGAACAGGATTCTAGAACTATAGTTGTGATTTTGCTGTCAAAAAAACCACTAATCAAAATATTTATATCTCTGTGAACTTTAATACGTCTATCGTCAACAGTTTCTTCTTCAATTTTTTCTCCATGTTTTTGTTCATCCCATTTTCGAGAACCACCAAATAAAAAACAAAGAATTCCTTATTTTTATTTCTTCGCGTTGAAAAAATATTTGGGGCTAAAAATTAATAAATATTTAATCGAAGAACTTTAAATTATAAAAAACTAACCAACATTTTTTGTCAAACGGTCAATAATATCATCACATTCTGATAAAGTTAAAACTTGTTAAATACGCTCCTCTGTCATGAACAACTTAAAAAAGGAAAATAGAAAATATTTTGTTACTAAATAGTGCCCTCATATTAGAAAAGATGTTAATTGTAATGACTCTATAAACTTTGAGGGAATAAGATTGGGGATGTTTCCCGGAGATTGAAAGAAATTGATTTTAATTTATCGGTAAAAATAACTTAGATTACTACCAAAACATGCTAACAAAGTATTAAAGAAAAATAAAAACTTATCCGTCAGTTGGCTCATGTAGTCTATCTTAACTAAGTTTTCAAAATTAAAAACATCAATGCTCGTTCGATAAATTGATGAACTGTTCGTTGCAGTAGATTAAACGAATTGGAGTATCTCAATATATACCAGTTACAGAACAGTGATCGTTGGGGTGAACACAAAAAAGACAGTGTTGAGTTTGACCGGTTGTATTCTACTTAAAAATAATTATAAAAATTTTTACATTTAAAACCTGGAATTTCCTGGAATTCCTTTTTTCTGGCCAGCTAAAAAATAAAAAAATTTAAGGATTTTTTATGTTTATAGCGTTAGTCCACTCTTCTTTAAAAAACAAAAAAAGTCTATTTAGCATTAATTAATTTATAGACAATCCTAAAAATATTTTGTCCATTAGAAAGATTTTCACGAGTGGGAATCGATCCCTATACGTAAAAGCTAAAAATTAATTTCAAGTCAAGTCTGATGATGAAATATTTACAATTATTTTCGTCTACACCATCGGTGCATATGGAATTTCTAAAAGTTAAAATAAAAATTATTTAAAACTAGAAATTAAGAAATGCTTCTTTAAACAATTCATCTTTTTTATTGTCAAATTAAATCTCAAAAGACTTTTGAGTAATGGGAGTCTTTGGTGTTCTTCAAAAAATAAATTATTACATATTAGCCAGTTATTGTTTTTTGTGTGTAATTTTACCCTAAAAACTAAGTTTATTTTTAATAATTGTATCTTTGTTCTCTTAATTATGCAAATTTGCCCCTAAAAATTATGACTTCCTTCTTTTAATTTTTTAAAAATTATATATTCTTTCTCTTAATTACGTAATTTTACCCCTAATTTTTATATCTATTTAATATAAAATATTTTGTCAGTAATGAAGACCCTTTCTCGGACAATTTGAATCACTCTAAATCATAAATTGCTGTCGAACCATTCCCGGAAAAACGGTTGCGTTTGACGACGCCTACGCTTGCGTTTGATGACGACGTATGTGGAAAAAAATCCTGCCTACGTTTGCGTATGACGACGATAAAAAGGGAGATATAACTACTCCAATCTATAATAGATTCGAGGTCGCAATAGGTTGTATCTCAAAAGTTCGGGAGCGGGTGTGCAGGGGTATGTGGTTTCAAATTGTTTTTGGGCTGCTGTTCGAGCTGGGGATGATGCTGGAAAAATTGTTCGGGGCGGTGTTCAAGGTAGTGGGTGTACAACGTGCCCTGAACATATCAAAATATCAGATCGATCAGTGCCAATCCTCAAAAAGTTTTTTGTAAGAGTTGCAGGATATGTAGATGTAAGTGGAGGGAGAAAGAATTGGATCCTATCTATTTGAAAGAGCTCGTCGAATTGAATCGAATTATAAGAGAATCAGCTTCCTTCGATGATTCTAAAGTTAATTATGTTTAAAACCCGTGGTTTCAATTTTTGAGAATATAATTAATTAAATAGAACCCAGCTTGGCAATGGATACGGATAATATCCGGATATCCGCGGATATATCCGGATACGAACACCAAAATTCGTGTCCATTGCCAAGCCTGAATATAACCACCTCAGCGAGATTAAAAATAAAATGAAAAAAATTTTATACTAAAATTTATCAAAAAATAAGAAAATAAAACATAGTACTTTGTCTTAGTTTTTGTTTAAATTCCCTATCTATGTTCAAATTTAATGGAAATATAACTTAAATCCCAAGCCTATAACTTAAATCCCGATCAGGAGCAGGCGCAATCACAGTTCTATGACCTATTGGCTTTGCTTAATTTTTGAAATTGTCTTTTGCGCCCCACCCTTGATCCCCTTTACATAAATACCATTAAATAAAAATTCTCTA